AGGCGTAACAACCCCGCCGAGGCCGCCCGCCCGCACGGCCGCCCGCACGGCCGCCCCGCTGATGTGACATCTACCTGCAGGCCGCGCGACGCGCCGCGACGCGCCAAAGGGGTGGGGAACCCTGCGGGTGCGGGAGGGATGTTCTCGCCTATGCCTTCCTTCCCCTTTTCATCGCCCCCGTCTGCAGCTGCGCGCAGAAACTCACTTTCGCCTGCACGCTGCCGCCAGGCCGGCCCGTCAGCCCGCCAGGCCGCCAGGGGTTGAAGGTCTTCTGATCCGTCCCTCCAGCGCTCCCTTCCCCCGAGCCGGCCGCCCCGCCTCGCCCCCACCTCCCTTCCCCCAGAGAGCCTGAACCATACCCGTCGCCCTCAGGAACAGTTGCACACGATGAATACTAATCAAACACGCCCGCCCTTGCGTCCGCCTGGCGTCCCGCCTTGCGTCCCGCCACCCCCAGCGCCCCCACCCCCCGGCCTTTCCCTTTTCCTCGTAGGGGCCGTCCGCAAAGCACGACCGCCACTACGTCTTCATTGCACGAGTTCGGCCAATTTCTCGACTCGGATTCCACATCCTCCCTAAACAAATTTTATTTCGTCTCAAGTGGGTGGGTGAAACCATTTTGGGATTGGAAAATGGACACCGTCGTTGCTGTGCACCGCTGGCGTGCGACGGGCTGAGCCCCGCCGGAAGTCCCAGTCCGAGTTGGGACAACTCACCGGTGGGCCGGCAGGTCCTCGGAGGATGTCTCGGTGGCTCCAGGCATGCGCCCCAGGCCGCCCCAGGCCCCGCCGCTCCGTGCCTCCAGACGGCTGTCTTGTCCAGGTGCCGCGGGCGGGCCTCGACGTCCACCGTGCGGGATGGAAAGGGTGACAAAGGAGCGTTTCGTTACCAAAACAACCCAAAATTGCCAACCCTGCGTCGCCTCTCGAGTTCTACACCAAATGCCACACGTCACGTGATGCGGACCACCTTGCACCGCGCCGTCCGATGCGCGTCCAACTTCCGGTCTTCCTCCGCGACCACCCCCGCGACGCAGTTTCGCCGCGCATTTGGTGCTTTCGGGGGAAGGCATCATGGCGGGGTATAATTTGTCGCCGGACAAATGACTTCTGTGTTGACATGTGTGCGTCTCTGCTGCTGTGTCTACTGCGCGCGTGTGTTTGTGACCGGCGCAGGCTAGCTTAGTCACACACACACACACACACACACACACACACACACACACACACACACAGGACGGAAACTGCGCACGCCGTGCGGTGTAATGACGCATGCCCCCCGTCTTGGGCACCAACTTCGGGTAGCCGCGTGCCTAGCGGCGTGTGACTAAAGACCTCGGATACCGGGTTCGAATCTCTGCGCGATTTATCCCGAAACGAGTTTGTAGCAGTTTGGGGCCTATCCTTTCTCAGCGGACATCGATCGGGAACAGCACCCCCTCCCCCTTTCCCCCTGGAATTCCTTTGGCCCCTGCTTTGACAGGAAGTTGGTGTCGAGAGTATTCCCGCGAGGTGGCCCGGGGTGGGGCCGGTGGGGCCGGTGGGCCTCAAGACGGGGGTGGGTCAGCAGCCCCCCACCCCCCGCGGGCCACCCCCGCGCTGGATGACATTGCTTGATGCCTTGTGGATATAGAAAAAAGGGAAAGAAGCGAGGGGGGATGATACAGTGGGAGCGAGACGGACAAGCGGCTGATGCAGAGCGCGAGACAAAGATGAAAAAACGCAAGATTTATGACTTCAAACTCCCTCTGAAAAGCACGTCAAGCAAAATAAATAGCGCATGTGCGTATGTGCGTGGGTGTGCGCGTGTGTGTCAGTGCGCTGACACACGTACGCGAGTGCCCGCGTGTGTCCGCGGGAGTGGAGGTGCGTGTGTGCGGCTGTTCACACAATGTCACTTGAGAGCAAAAATGTGACAATTTGCCCCGTTTTCAGGTCGGTTCGTTGTCTCGCCCAAATTACCAGCCGTCACGGCGGGGCCCTTCTAATTGCGGTGGCCGAGATTTTTTTTTCGGCCCAATTACTGCTTTTTTTCCCCTGCAGAATGCGAAAGAAATTCGCCCCTTGCTGCTTTTGGAAGTTTGAAAACGCCACCGTCCCCGCAAAAAGCCACTCTTCTGGTTCAACGCTTCCCCGACTGGAGGCGGAAAAGCACTCGGTTCTGAGGGAGAGAGTCCCCGCGGTGTGACGGCGGGCAACTTGCGCCAAACTTGTTCCTCGCCGTGGCTTAGTGTTTTTCTCTTCTTGTGGCCGGCCAAGTGAAAACAGTCGGCAAGCCTGGTCGCGGTAAGTGCTGTGCCCCAGTGTCCGCCTTCAATCCCAACAAACACGGGACAAAACTCGCGAAAATTTTTGGCAGCACCAAACGCAACAGAGCGGTGTGCAGGCGGGCGGGTCGGGAAAGTATGAAAAAATAGAGGGACGGAGAAGTCCGATTTTTCTCCTAAATGCGAGGGAAATAGGCTATCGCAACGCACTGTGTTTCTTCTGTCGGCCGGCGAGGCCGTCGAGGCCCCGCGCAGATCTCGGTTGCTGCTGCCGCGCTTCCCACCTCCCACCCAGCGCCCTCCGGCCCCTGCAGCCCTTCATTCGCCTGTTCTCGGGCCGCCTTCTGGCTGCCTTCCGACAGCCTTCCGACACTGCGATGACAATCATTGCTCTTCGGGCCCGTTAATATTCATCGTCACGCGGCGACACCGACAGACAGCCTAGCTGCAGCGCTGGAGGCACCTTGGACGAAACGCTGTGCGGATTGAGTCTGGGACTGTTTGGTCATTCTATTCAACGGCCAACATGCACCCTAAGTATCATCGCGGTTTGACTACCCGCACACCCCTGTTTACATCGGCCATCATCATTAGGGCAGATCGTATCGACAACTCTCATATGTAAATGTATATTTAAAAAGTCATAAATAGCGGGCATTAAATGAAGTCCGGCGCGCCAACGAGATCCCTTGCTTTTCCTTGCTGATGGTAGAATTACGTGCGGACCGCGGCACCGTGGGCCTAGAGCACGCCACGCCATTCTAGGAGCTGTAATTGTGGTTCCATTACCCCTGATTACTCGCGCGACTAACACTCTTCCGTTTTGTGAGACGCCAAGAGTTTCCACGCGTTTCCCCGAGTCTGATTGAAAAGCCTGCTCTGCATGCGTCGGTCAGTGATGATTATGAAGTTGGGATATGCGCGTGGCGAACAGACACCACAGACAGGGGGCCCAACTCTGACTCACGGCTCAAACATTTGAATAATATCCTGGGCAGGAGACCCTCGGCCGCATCTCTTGAATTATGTACACGGAGGCCTGCGTGTTGGCCGTCAAGGCGCCCACAGATGACCATTAGTCTCGAGTGGTTAAGACATATGACGACTAGAAAATTGACATTAACAGAAATCAAAACCACGGCAAAATTTGCTAGGGCAGGGCACTCTCAACAAATTTGAAATCAATTCGAAACTTTTGCTTTTTGACTGTAGGTCAAGGGGTCAGATTACGTAGGCCAGGAGCTTCGGTCAAATAGCACTCAACGTCTTACGAAAAAAAATTCTTGGTTTCCAAGAGACTTCTCAGAACGAGAAATGTAGCACTTCCACGGGCCCACTCTCTCACATATTGATCGCATTTTCCCTCCAGACTTGTCTTTTTTTCCGTCTTCCCGTGCCTCGACTTTGCCGATCTCGCCACATAGAGGGCAGCACCGTCTAGCGCGGAGGCTAATATGGCGCCCGCCGCTTGTTGTTGTTTGCCAAAATAACAAATGAGCCTAATTTATAAGGTGTCGGTGGGCGGGGTGCGGCGGCCAATCAGAGGGCCCCTTTCAAGCCGGCTAGGCTCAGTGGGCGGGCCGACACCAGTCCAACAAATGTGAGGGACCGGAGACTGACAGATACTAAGCGAAGGAGGGAGGAGCTAGCCCCCCGCCGAGGTACCCCTGCCCCCGTCCCCCCGCCCCGCGCACCCTGCGTACCCCCTCCACGGCTCACTTCATCCCCACTGTGACTCTGATGCACTTCCCCTCCAGCCCAAGTCTCGTGCTCGGAAACGGCGCCAAAATTCAAACCGAGCAGCGAAGGTCCGTAGGTTTGCAGTGGTATTTGCTGAACTTACCTGCCCGCGACACTGCACTGTGGATCAAAGCTGCTGTTGGCTTGGGCACCCTGTGCTAAGATAAGACATGACACTACTGCCCCAACCAATGAAATAATGTTCTTAAATTTAAATTTAGGGTCAATTTTTTGATAACGACTTATTTAAATGCATCTAAAATGTTGAAGCATTGTTGGCATTGTTCAACTGTATTTGAAAGCCTGATCGAAAAAGAAGCATCACAGATCTAAATAAATGAACCTGCCAGTTACAAATTTAGAAGTCGCTGTCAAAACATGGCCAAACAGACCCCGCGAAACTGATGAGCAGCTCATCAGCATTTCTACTCCACTAAGGCGCCTCGTCTGCTACCAGAAACACCTTGACGACAAATCACCTGCCCCGCCACCTCAATGGTTTGTTCACCGACTCCCATAACTCTTGTTTATGGCCGAACGATAAAGCCCGTAAACACCTCATAAAACGGGCATAATTGAATGGTGCTACATTTTATAAACAGGCGCGTGCCACCTGAAGCTCGGACCATAATCTTAAATCATCGACGCTTTTCCCACACCCATCGCGGCGGGCAAGGCGGGCGCGCGGGTGAGGGGCAGGCAAGGCGAGTCACACATGCAGGATGATCCAGAGGTCCGAGCCATTGCGAGTCGGGCCAGCATCTTGTGGTTCACGGGGCCGCCGCCGCCGCAGCAGCAGCACCGCTGCGATCCTTTTGACGCCGCTGCTCCCCTCTTCTTCTCCCTCCTGAAAGCCCATTAATCTTATCGGGCCGTCCAGCCGTCGACCCTGCTCTCTACAACATGAAAATCGTGCTTTCTTTTGCAATGCCCCCACCGCGTTTTTCCTGGATTCCAAAGACAAACAGGTGGTTTTCGTACAGAGATTACGAAATGCGTTTCATATTCAACCATATTTTATTGTTTCACTTTGATCTCAAACACGATTGAGGCTTTCGAATCGGGACATACTCTCTTTACATACACGCATCGTCACTATATATATAGAATTTGCATATATTTATATATATATTTATTTATTAAAACCGGACACTAGATATATCCTAAATGTACATGTCTACAATAATAAATTAATGAGTTATAGGTGTGTTCTATCAGAGTGTTCAAAACAAAACAATTTAAACAAGTTTGCACTTTTCAACGCCAAGAGTATGACAACCCCTTCATTATATACTACAAACATAAATAGAACTAATGTACATCGTATTGAGGTATTTAAAGGGGGTTGTAGCACGTCAGTAATACTCGAAATCCTTTTAAAAATATCCAATCTGGCGTAAAAGTTATTGAGCATAAAGTTTAAAATCAAGATACCTACAAACCAGTTGCAATTTTTTTACAGAATTACGACAGAAGCGTTCGTATACATGACGTGACATTACTGGAAACGAACCTGACTTCCTCGTTTCCTCTGCTCCTATGCACTATGTACCATTCGGAAAACAAAACAAGAACAGGGTGTTCCAAAAGCTCAATTTAATATAAAAAATAAAAACGGACATATACACAGCAATAGGTTTTGTACACCCTGTGGTACAATTTTTACATCTAAGTAAGTATAAACGCTACATATGTACAATGAAGGACTAGAAGCACATTATTGTGTATATTAATTCAAACAAATGTGACAGCGAAACAAAATTGATTCTACAACGATTGTGAAAATAAAAGAGCTCAGTTCACACTAACCGCCATGGGATGTTACTGCAAACTGTTCCCTAAAACTTCAAACCATACCACTAGTGCTGTCGATTGAACAAAGAGTACAGAGTGCATAGAGTAGGAGAAAACCGTCGGTAGGGCGCCTTCCGACACTATTTGTACGACATAAAATATCACATGGCTCTGTATAATGTATTAACTGGTACCGAGTGTTACACATCATATACCCTAATATGGCATACTTTAGACTATAGAGGTCAGTCTTTCCAGCTTACGCAAGAACGATATTTGTTTTACTTATTTCCGGCTCTGGTTTTGGGCTCATCATTCAAGTAGGCCGAAAATGAGTGACTCAATTAAATTAATCAGTGTTGCAAAGATCCTTACGTGAGGCAATTAAAAGGGGCGATTCCGTACGTAAGACCAGGGCGTGCGGGGGTGGCTCGGCTGCTGCGGCCCAGGCTTGCCAATCGCCCGCCACCCTCTGCCTACCCAGCAGGCGCTACACTCGCACGAGGGCACCGCCACCCTCCCCCGCACGCCGTGGGGGAATCGTCCATACTGGACTTTCTCAAATTTGTGGAGGGAAAACAGGCAACACTTAACAAATATAACAGACATGCCCTTTAAAGGATGCGCAGGACAACATAATTTTAAGAATGTATGTACGAATAAAGTATTTAATGTTGACACTTTGCGAGTCCTAGGAACTGTGGTATGTTTGCCACCGTGACCGGGGCTTTAACAAAAACACAGATAACTCAACTGAAATGTATTTTTGGCACGCGTTTGACCGAATAGAAGGGCAACCATTTTCCTTCTTTAGCTAAGATATGCAATGCACGAATTTTACAAGCAACTTACCCCTGCACTTCTAAAACTTATAAGCACCGAAATTTTCCCATTGAACTGGAGTTCTTTTTCTCCCACCGCAGCGCCAAATTCACTTTCAATTGAGTTACTGGCAAAAACCAAATAATTTGCTAACTTTTAATAGCGAATTCATTTTCTCGTTTTTTAAAAATTTACTACAACACATAGAATAACTATCCTTATTTACGCAAATAACACATTACTTGTACACTTAAACGTCAAAATTTAAAGCATTGAAAAAAATACATACATATATTTGCTCTTTTCGACAATACAGCGGACAATTATTACGTATTCAGCGCTCACTTTAATTACGTATTTGAGGTTATTGAAACAGCCAAAGCTCCCGAGTTGTTGACTTAAATGTCTACGTAAAGACCCTTGCCATCCTACCACCTAATTTTTGGGACTCAACAACGAGGGGGTAAGATACGTATACGCAGCTAGGCACTTGCAAGAGTCTCCTTCAGGTAGTCGGTTTTAATACTCACATGGTTGTCCGGCCGGGTGGGGCGGGTTGAAGTCCAGCTTGAGCACACACACGCAACACTGGATTCCTAACTCCAACGCCGGGGCTCTGGAGGTGGCTAATCCAGGGTACCACCAACCAGGCCAGCGAAGAAGTTTTCCAAATAACTGTTCAATTTTTACATAAAGTGCACCCGTTTTAAGAATTGAACACGAAATCACTCGCTTCATTGCACCGATATAGAAGCACACCGCAATTTTATTACCACCTTAATCACAATGTGCTCACCTCCTATAACTACACCGTAAAATAATTTCTTTGGTTGAGGTACCTTCTTTGAGAGAAGGAGAGTGTAGTCAAGAGCAAGAAGCGTGAAAAGAACGAGTGAGAGTCGAGGACACTCGCTTATAATGATTGTGTTCTCATTTTTCGAGTGTTTATTTTTCTTTCGATTCCTTACGAACCGGACAGCCCAACAGAGATTCAAGAGAGAAAACAATGGGAATTCAAATAAAGAAGACTCTTGCAAATCCCGTGATTTGCGCCAAATTTACACTATGAAGTGCGTTAAAATTAACGGTTGACCAAATCAACCTATTCGTTTACGCGCAAGCTGGCATTATTGAATACTGGGGCTGCATACGACTCGGATAAAAAAGAACACATCCATTTATTTCACTAGCAGGCACGGCCGAAACACTAGGACCGTGCCCGACCTGCTTAAAAACGAGAAGAAGTAGAAATATCACTTTGTTTCGCAGCGAATCACGCTCCCATTCTCTCATTCACACATTCACTTTCACGGGCTCCTCTTGAAAAGCGTCCTGCACAAAATAGCGGCCACCGAAGGCAGCATTTGTCCGTCCTTGTGGCCACTGGGTGAGACACAGACACACATACACACACACACAGACACCGACACCGCGGGTGTCGCCAAGGTGACTATCATGAAGAATGACTAAAAGTGGTGGAAGAACAACGTATGCTCTTCCGGGGCCTCATCTCACTGAGGCGAAGTCTGTGGGCTTAGTTCGCCTGAACCGTCACCGTCCCCGGAACCGGGCTCGCCCTTGGTCTTGTTCTCCTTCTTCCACTTCATGCGCCGGTTCTGGAACCAGATCTTGATCTGTCGCTCCGTGAGGCACAGGGCGTGCGCGATCTCGATGCGCCGGCGCCGCGTCAGGTAGCGGTTGAAGTGGAACTCCTTCTCCAGCTCCAGCGTCTGGTACCGCGTGTAGGTCTGTCGACCCCGCTTCCGCTCTGCAACACAAAAACAGAAGGGACGCGTCAGCAAAGCAGGCAAAGCCGTGCCGCGGCCGCCGAAGGGCCCCGAACACCCCCGCAAACACTACTCGTTCATCCATCATGCAGCGCACACACACCACACGCACACAAGCTGAGCCCTGCCGAGGCCGTGCGGCCGTGGGGCCGTGGTGGGGGTGCGCCATCAATCAAACGCGATGACGCGGCTCCAAACATGGCCGGTGATATGGCGGCCGGCCGCGGCCAGAGCGATGCGCTGTGGCTAAAACATGTCCGAAAAACGCGCTGCTGCAGCGGGCTGGGGCCGAGCGCGGCGCCTCGGGGGAGAGAAGGGGGAGGGGGCAGCTCAGGCAGCTCACGACGGCGGGGCCCTTGGCGAGGGCAGTAGAAGAGAGAATGCTAGAGTGCCGGGGCAGGGCGCTGTAGTCACGCATTACGAAGAGCTAACGATATTTTGATTATATACACACTGTCTGCGAAAAAATAAGGAGCGACGAGAAAAATTGGTCGAGACGTGTCACACCGAGAGGGGGCAGCAATGCTTGCGCCATCGTCTTGCGGCCGCCGGATTAATTGCTTTTTTTGCCTCCATAATTCGGGGATGATGAGAATTTCAGACTGCGCCACTTGTCCGATAGGTAGCGCACCAATCGCGGCGATACTATCGAAGTGTTTACGAGAGCGTGAATTGCCAGCTCGTTTCGCGTAATCGAAGATAATCGAGCCGCCCCGTGCAGGTAATTGCACAACCCAGGAGCAGGCGTGAAAGGGGGCCTGCACTCAATTTGCCGCCATTTTCCTCGTCGTTTTTGTTCTCTTCCTCCCAGAGCAACCTGATGAACCTGATCCCATCACACAAGGGCAGCCCGCAAACTATTTTTATTTTTCTCTCTCCCTCTCACACACACTACTTCTACCACCACCACCACTACCAGGAAAAAAGAAAGACGAAAAAAATCATGCGTTGACCGGTACTCGAACCCCCGCCCCGTCAAATTGTGAGCTGCACGGGAATGCAGGGCGAGCTGGCGGGCCAGGAATTCGCAGCGCTTATAAATCGGGCGGCGGGGAGGGACCGTGACCGCCGTGACGACTCGCACGCCGTCCAATTGGCTGGTGCAGCGTCTAGCCGCGGAGAGAGCCAGCCCATCGGGCCGAGTGTCCGAGACTGTCCCAGGCGGCCGCGAGCGCCATAATTTAGGTCCTAACCGTCGCCCTGTTTATAAACATGTAAATTACGCCCCTTTCATACGGCGTCAACCAGCCCACCGGGCAGACGCAGCACCGCGTGTGTTTTGAGTTATATCCGTCCGCACTTTGCGCGACTGTACTGTACCCGGACAAAGTGGTTGCCTGCCTGCCAAGTCGCGGCCCTAATCGCCCAGCAGGCCAGGCACTGCGATTGGAGCGTAATTAACCCACGAATCCATCTCTGCCGCGTGACCCTGACCGACCGCCTAGCCGGGTCAGGTTCAGACAATATTTTACTTTTAATGCTTTTTTCCGGCAGTGCAGTGTGCCGCTCACGGCAGGTCTCGAGGCGCGCGGTGATGCCTTGACGGACGCCCCTCAGGAAATTACGCTTTGGATTCTCATTTCGGAAGCAATTGATCACGGCTGACGCCTCCTCGGAGCACAGAGCCACAACGGCAAAAGGTGAGCCAACCCTTCCGAAGAAAAAACTGAATAAAAATTGACCGTTGTGTCCCTGAATTTTCAAACTTTTCTTTGCTGGTATAGTTTACATTTCAGCTTAAGCGATTTGGAGACGCCCCCTAGATTGCGCGGCCCAGGCGGTGGGGGCGGTGGGTGTATTCCTGTCGAGGGGTTCCCGTCGACGCCGCGCGGCGTGTGCGCCTGTTTGCGGCCACACGTCCGATAATACGCGGCAATTTCAATGATCGCACCAAAACGGTGAGAGAGGGTGGGGGGCACCGCGAGGCACCGGAAGGAGGCCGGGGTGGAGCCGGCCGACCCGGGCCATTGTACCGGGGGCTTCCGGTGCGTAATAACACGCCGGGAACGCCCGGGAACGCCCGGGAACGCCCGCAATGACAAAAATAGCAAAACGCACTTTTGAAACGCGCTCGCGGCCATCAAGCAGTGAGGATAGCCCTCACAGCTCGCGAGCGGACGGACAGACAGACCCTTCAATTTTTCCCTCGTTAGACGACGAGCCTATGATTAGTTTTGTTGGCGAACACAAGAGCACGCGTGGAACGTTAACTCCGTTGTTTTTTCACCGTTTTTTTTAGTGCTGTTTGAACTGGAATTTTGTCAAAGTGGCCCTGCAAGGGCCGCGAGATAGCACTACAGCAATTACAGCGTTCCCACGTCGGGCGCCGCGCGCGTCTCGGCGCCATGATAATGACGCGAGGCTCAAAATGGCGGGCTAACGATGAGCGCTAATGGTCGCTCCGCGGATCCGCATTGGCCGCGCATTGGCCGCGAGACATCATCAATTATCGGGAAGGGCCCCTACAGTCAACGTGACACAGAGGGCAACAAAAAAAAAAATACTAGAAAAAAAATAAAAAAAATTGTAGAAATTTAGGAAAGTGTTTTGCGGTTGAAGTTATCACGGCGATATTCGTTGGCAAGTTCTAGAGAAGCACCCCAACGTTATCGTACGATTTCAACACACACGCACCAAGGGGAGGGGCAGCGGTGCGTGGCGTGGCTCCCGTCTGGCGAGGTGGAGTGCCCAGAGACAGAGCGAGAGAGAGCGAGGAGAGAGAGAGAGGCGAGGGGGAGGCGGGCTCACTTCACATGAGACGAAGATGGATGACGGTATCTGCTCCTCCTGCTCTCCCCTATTCGTTCCTCACATCCCCGCGCGTCACCGTCTCTCTCACTCTCTCTTCCGACGCCTGCGCCTCTCTCTCTCTCTCGCTCTCCCGCTCTTTCTCCCACCTTATCCCCACACAACCCGAAGCAAGAGACTAGTCTCTTTTTTTCGTACCCCCGCCCCTAACCTTTTCCCCTCTCTTTTTCGTCTTTTTTTTCCAGCGTGATGATCTCCTTCTCAAGCCTCTCTCTTTCTCTCTCTCTCGCCTTTTGATAGACGACCTCTCCCCGCATCATCCCTTGTGTACAGACCCCCAGCGTTTCATGACCATTCCCATGTTCAATGTGAAAGGTCACGCCACAAGTCCCCACCCCCGAGCGAAAAAAGCCGGGAACATTGCTTTTAGCCCAAACGTTTTAATTTAATTATTTTTACCTCCGAGTTTCGGGAACGAGGGCGCGGCGGTGCGCTGTGCCCGTGACTGAGGCGGGGAGGCAGCGGCAAACACTCCGCGTCCCCGTCGACCCGACGCAGCGGCACAGCACGGCACGGCGACAGACGCAAAAGCAACTCGACTAAAAATGGCCCCCGAGGCGATGCAGGTCAACTGGAGATAATTTCGCAGTGGAGTCGAACCAGGGGGACAGCCAGCCAGCCGGCCGGCAGCCTGGCACCGCGACGATGTCAGGAGCGGTAATTTTTCCCTGCGCGCACTGGCAGGCCCAGGCAGGGCCAGGACCGCGGCACTGGGGCTGTGACGTGTCGAGCTAACCTCAAAATATGCTAATCCGGGCGATGGAATGCACACTGACGTCGGGACGTCGGATTGAGACCTCCTCCGCCGGCCGGTCGGTCGGGAAGGGTTTGCCACAATGCCGCTAAGAATGGGACTGCCGCTTCGGATTCCCATTCAGCCATTCGTCCACCTTTTGATAGAGTGAAAAATGTCCCCCGGTGCGCGCTCCAGCAAGGCTCCAGCAAGCGACTCCAGCGACAAGCGCGCTGTCCAGGAAAGCCGTTTCCCACGTCACAGAGTCCATCCGACTGGCCGGTGTGTGCGCTGCGCACCTTGAAATTCTCCAGAACCTCTCCTCCTCTGTAAGAAAGGCCCCACTTTTTATTTTCTTTTGTCTCTCTTCCCGATCGCCAGGGCCTCGCCAGGGCCGGGGCCGCGGGGCCCCGCGCGGGGCCGAGGGCCGGGATGTAAAGGATATCTTGGCGAGCGATTCGTCGGGGTCCCCCAACACGACTAGAGCCCCACGACGTCGGAGGCGTCCGAGCCGGCCAGGTCGCCGTCGTGGCGGCCGGCAGGCCGGGCGAGCGACAGAGACACGCGTTCGGACGCGGCCGTCGGGCGCGGCGCTACGGCCGGCCCGGCAGAGCAGGCAATTAATTTGAAGGAGCCTCACGCTGACTAGATGAGGGGGAGCGAGCGAGACGGACAGAGGGAGGGGGGAAGGGGAGGGCCCAATGATGATTTAGGGTCCGACCGTCTCGCGGCTGCTGCTTCTGTCAGACGCTGGCTGGCCGTGTGTGAGGCTAGCCTCGCGCCAGGTAGGTCCGCCCTGCCGCCGGGCCGCCCAGCCAGCCCTGCAGCTGTCGACTTTCTACACTACTTTTTGGACTATCAAGGGGGCCCGAAGCTCGAACCGGTCGCCACAGATTTGTTCATGTTGTTGTTGTTGTTGCCCGGTTCGAGACTACCGGGCTGAAAAATAAGTGAGTGTGTGGCAGCAGCTTGTGTGCATCGCATATTAAATTACGGTGGTGCCCCTCCTCCCGCCGCAGCCCCGCGACCGTGCTGGGCTACCCGGGGCCACCCGGGGCCACCCATCCCCTGCTCCGCGCCTCCTCGCCGTGGTGCCTTCCCCGGGGGCCTCGCCCGCCTCGCCAGCCTACCGAGGCCGCGTCCCGGCCTCGGCCCTCTCCGTCGCACTGCAGCCTTCTCGCGGACTGCGGCCAGGACGCCGCCCTCGGGCGCAGCCCGCGCAGCCCAGCGCAGCCCAGCGCAGTGCGGCGAGGTCAGATTCCTCGGAGTCTTTGCCTCTATCTGTCTTCCTCAGCCGCGCAGCACCGCGGCACCGTGACGGTGCGCCAGTGCGCCAGCCAGCCCGGCGCGTCGCGGTGCGTCCTGCCACCGCCGCCGGCGTGCAACGCTAATACAATAGGGATGTGTGGCGCTTGTCGCGTCTTTTGCAACGCCGACCGGCCGGCCTCTCCAGACGAACGCCCTGGGTGGGGCGGGGCGGGCGGCACTGCGGCGGCCTCCTGAAATAGGACTGCGGGCAGAGTGCAGCTTGGGGCGTGACGCGCCTCCCCTCCCCTCCCCCGTCGGGGTCCTCGAGGCCCCCGTCACCCTCCGTCATGCCCGTCGCCCTCCAGGAGGCTCCGGCCGAGCCAGCCAGCCGTCCTTGCTCTTGCTGCAGCGGGCCGGCACCTCGGCGAGCGAGGCAGCAAGGCGAGCAAACGCTGTGGAAGCGCCGCCGGGCCGCCCCGCAGCCCGCAGGCCTGCCAACCCGGTGAAAAATAATTCCTTTCCGAAGCGGCGTGGCGGGGCGTGGCGGGGCGTGGCGGGGCGTGGCGGGGCGTGGCGGCGCTCCAATCCTCCGGGGAGGCCGCTGCGCTGCCGCCGCGCCACCCCCGCGACGTGCCGTCCCCGGCGTCCCCGTCGAGGCCAGGCCGTGCCACGCGTGCCACGCCGTGCCACGCCGTGCCACGCCCCGCCACGCCCGGCAACGCCTCGCCGGTCCGCGCCGAATAATAAGAATGGGGTCGCCGCGGGATTTCGCATCACTACGTTCCATTTCCAAACTGTCAGCGTCGGCGTCGCGGCGGGGCCTCGCGGCGGGGCCTAGCGCCTCGCGGCCTTGAGGGCGGTGGCAGTGGCGCAGCGCACCAGCAGCGTGGTGGCGTCCAGGAGGGAAGGAAGGACGCGTCCAGCAGTTATGCAAACAGAACCTTCATTTTCGGCTCCGTTTTATCGGGTAAAAACTGAGTGTCGCGTGTGCTGGCCCTCCCGGCAGGCCGCGCACCCTAGGCTCAAATTCCCCCCAGAGGCGGGCCACCACCCAGGCCACGGCGCGCCTAACCCTTCCCACGTGTTCGCAGCCTGCTGCGAGGTTGCCACACTGACACAGACACACACGGACTGTGACACAGCAATGCCAACTCTTCATGAATACAGTTTTGGCAAATTTCTGCGGAGTTGTCCTGAGCCCGTCCCTGCATGTGTGCGCTCAGTGTGGCGGCAATTACTTTGTTTACCTTTCTGGAATGTTTTTTCCAGTGTGAGGCAGGGCGAGGTGTCGTCCGACCGGTCCAGATTCCGCTCGGATTGGCCGCTCGAATGGGAGCGCGGGGCCATGCTCGTCACGCGCGGGGGCCGTCCGGGAACGAGCAGCTCAAAATAAAGCCGCCGAAACTATTTAAAACTATTTACAACGCCAAATTGATTCGAGTCTTTCCCGGCCATTGTGCAGCGATGGCGCTGCTGCCTGCCTGGGGCCCTGGGCCTGCGAGGGGGAGGGCCGGGTGTCCCCCCCCCCCTCTCCTCGCCCCCTTCCCCCTGAAGCCCCCAGAGAGCGCTGCGCCACGACGCTCAGCCACCGGAACACACTGGCATTTTTTCCAAGTCTCTCTGGGGCGCCTGCCCGACCAGGCCAAAAAGTCCCCCTCCCTGTGATGACGCCGCCAAACCGAGTCTCCCCTGTTTGGACCCCCACCCTGCAGGCCTGCAGGCCCTGTAGTCTGAGCTAGTCTAGCAGCTGCCAAAAGCAAACGCCCCTCCCCTCCCCTCCCCTCCCCCCGCCCCGCCAGCCACGCCGTTGGCGCCCTTCTAGACAGGCGCGGCGTGCCGGCGGCAGTTCCAGAGAGAACTGACGCCCCCAAAAAGTTGTTCCCTCTCGCTCCTCCTCGGAGGGAAAACTTTTCGATTAGCAACGCTTAGCCGGACCCGATAATTACTACAGCATCACTGTAACACGGGCCAAGGGCTCGCGACGCGATGCAACAATCTAACTAAAGCTCTCACGCACTAAAAGAAAAACCACACAGACACACAACTAAATGACCACACACCAAAAAGCAGGAAACAAAATAGTACTTAGCTGTCAGCTCGCGCTCTGCAAATTAATGTAAACATGACAGCCAGAAATTAAAAAAAGACACAGCAAAGAAAAACACAACAAACTCAAGACGACAAACAAAAGTCAACAAATATCCATTGGCAAAAGTAGCCCATGGTTAATTCATGCAGCCCGTGTCCATGGAGCCCTGACAGTGAGACAAGGAGCTGCTCAGCCACAGTCACTTACCTCGAAGCAAAAGTTACGTTAAAGACTTCCAAAAGGAATGTGGCTGAGCGCTGGTTTCAAAATATCAGGAGAAAATTACGACTAATGTGAGTGAGATATCTCTACGTGAGTTATTTGACCAACACCGACACCTTTAACCAAGTGAGACTTAAAATTACACTACTAAATCGCACAACGCAGGTGGATCTACAAACTCCCCAAAACCGAGATTAGACCTCTGTGCGGGAGACTTTCGGGCCGTTTGACAGAATTAGGAAGACATTGGAGCAGAAATGTCACCGGAGGAGATACAGAGATAGACATTACATTTACCAAACAGATCAAAAGACAATACAAAGAAACCTCAGCCCGAATCTCCCTGGCACAGCGTGCGAAACTTTCAATTTCAGACAGTCTTTGCGCAGGAATACTTGAAATGAAAATTTTCTTTGGCTTACCATAGTCTCCGGAGCCGTTGTGTTTATCTGCAAGAAAACGCAAAGCGTGTTGTATAGATTTAGTCTACAATTCTGGAAACGTCAACAGTTAATTAACGGGGGCATTTCACTTGGTCTTTAATTCTTTGATACGTTTATTTTATTTTACGGTCGGTATTATGGACACGAGCTGCAGTGCAATTCCACAAACATAACACCTGCCCTAAAATTATTTGGAACAAAACGAGGCGCATTTGACATTGCAAACCATTCAAGCAAAGCTGCTAAGCCACTTTAGACAATCGTTTCTTGAAAATGTCCGCGATTTTTCGAGGGTCCTTTCAAACTGTGCTTTTGGACAGCCTTCTTTTTATTTCTGTTCCCGGAGAGAGGGAAACGGCGAGCTCCTTACTTAGCTGCTCATTGTATAGAATGTATGAAATATTGCCGCAGTGATTTTCATCTTATTTTCGTCCTTTCTTCCCGGGCCGGCCCTCCTTTCATCCCTGCAGACCGACTTCCGCAGCCTTCCGCCCTGCCGGCCTGCAGCCCTCTCTGCCTTCGTTATTTCCATCCTTTAACAGACACTCGCCCATTATTTTTATCCCGCGAAAAGTAACACGACGACGGCGCGGCGCGACGCGGCCGGCCCCCGAGAAATCCTCCGTCAAGGCGGCCGCGAGCTTCCAGCCTCGGCCGCCAGATGTCGCCACCGGCCGGGCACCGCCGGCCCGGCTCACAAATCTCCCCCGGGTTTGAACTTGCCGCGAGCCCGGCCCGCCTGACTGACCAATCGCGTCGCGACTTGACGCGCGGACATACTTCCCCGTTCCTCCGGCAGGTGGCAGAACTGATCGAAGCGCGCGGCCCGCACTAGCGCCCCGCGCGGCGTGGCGTCGAACCGCGAGAACGGCGCGGGCGTATCTCCACAAAGCGCGACCGAAATAGCGCGGGCCTTGTCTTGGCTGCATTTGGGGCGGCCGAGACCGACTTTGTCTGTTTCGAGACTCAAGATGCTCGGCGGCTTGGACTGCCAGAGGCCGCCGAAAACGAGTAGCCGCCAGCGAGTACCTGGACGGACGCCATGCCGACCGGTGGCGCACTGCTGGACGCGCGGCCGCGGCTTGGCGCGTTTTGGCCGTCGGCGTGCGTGGCTGGCTGGCCGCGGTGCAGGGAAAGGCCCTGAAGGGGCCTGAAGGGGGTTGCACCGAACTGCCCATAAATCGTGGCCACTCGGCAAGGAGGGGGCGGGGGCGCCGCGCGCGCTCAACAAGTTAGGATGCGACCACCGCAATGTGCACCACGTGCTAAACGTAAACAAGGCCCAGAAAACGCTGCCTAACGGGACGCGGTGGACAATGAGCCACCCTTTGGTGCGCCCAGGTCGACGGCCAGGTGACGGACAAGTCAAGGCTGACCGGCGGGGTGCGGTGGGGCCCGGCCACGCGCCTGCACCAGTAATTGCACACAGCTACAAGCCAAGGAATTTGTTCCCTCTTTTTTGCGATCGGTTCGTACGCGAAACGAGAAGCAGCCCTCCGGCGGTGGCGGTGACACACTCACACGCACGCACATGTGTGTCGTCGGGAAGAAAGCAGGAAAAATCGCGAAACTAGGTCGCCCCCCGCTGTGAGGGCTGAATAAACATAAGCCGACGGTTTCCGCCACGAGTGAGAGGAAAGGAACCTTCCCGGAAAGCGGGGCACAGCGGAGCACGGAGACATTTTGCATGTCTGACGCGACGTCCGACCAAGTGACGGTCCGACGGCGGCCTAGCGACCGCCAAGAAGTGCCGCGAATGAGACATCAGCATCTCGATGATGGCATCACAGCCCTGTCCGCAGGATCGTCTCATCTGTATTCGGTTTCCCGGAGAAGCGATACCACAATGCGAGGGCCGCTTTGTGATGGACAGGTCGAGAAATCACCTGCAGCGCGCAACCTGCGACTCACCTCCAGGCAAGACTCCAGGGGGGCGACCAGCAGTAACAAATTGCCGCATCGCAGTGCTCGACAATTTTTCAGTCGCCTTCTGGGAAAAACGCCCCGCGGACGGACGGACACGCGAGTGACGCCGACGAGGAAATTTCTCATAAAAATCTCATCTGTGAGGATTGTCTCATACGGGTCGCGGCGTGGGAGTGGTGCGTGCCCCTTCCGGCTAGTCGCAGCCAATTCCAGCAAGGTGATTGAAGCAGCCCGCATCCGGACGGACGGACGCCGGACGGGCGGGCTGAGTGCACGAACCAATCAGATGCTGCGGCCGATGAAGATACGCCACTGACAAATGACTGACGAGCCGAATCCATCAGTCATGACGTCATGACTGATGAGGCCCGGACCCGCGCACCGCCGCCGCATTGGCTCAGGTCGAGGCTCTCCGCCGCGGGGCGTGGCGCGGCGGTTTGAATCGGCCGAAACGAAGGAGTCTCGGAAAATAGTTCCCCGTTCCTTTCCTCTCCACCTGGCTGCGGCGACCGTCTGCTTGGACCCGAGCCAGCGCAGCCAGTGCATCAGCCAGCGCGACTATGGACCTCCCTGCTCGAAGCGCGCGTCTCTGGCATAACAGCTTTGCAGTCGAACGTCGCCTGGCCTCTGGGTCAGTAGCGAACACTTCACACGGTTAGACAGAAGTTGGCATGCAATGCAAATGCGGATCGTTCCAAACCAAAAAACAAAGAAATCAACATAGAAATGTTTAAACAAATAATAATCGTCATCTCGTTAGTTGAAAAGAATCATTGTGGGTTACACAATGAAAAAATAAAGCGATAAAGTGGCTATTTAAAAAAATAATGAAGTAACCCTTTGGAGAATAATCATTACGATATATAAAGAAGCAACACGTATTTATAATTTCTCCAAAGGGTACAATTATACTGCTAATGATAACGTGATATTTTGAGACGTCTTGACAATTTTACAAAAAAATAAGGGTGAAAGCAAAACCAAGCTAGCGCAAGATGCATATTGGTATATAGTATAGTAGAATTAGATTATCCTAAGGGCGGGTAGGGGAAAGGATTCCCCGCGCAGGCTGGACCGATGAGAGGGCACCGCGGTCTCATCGCGGTGACGTACTGGACCCCTTCGGCCTAGCCTGCGCGGCGAGATGGGTCCGGCTTGACGGCGTGGGGCTGCGCGCTGCGCTGCGCCATTCCGGCTAACGGAGTACGGAGGCCACACTCACCAAATTGACTCCGCATCCACGGGTACAGCGGCGACGGTAGCGAGCTGTTGTTGTTGTTCTGCTGCTGCTGTTGCTGCTGCTGCGCCGAGGGGGGCGGCCCCTGAGGGGGTGCTTGGTGAGGGGACATGACTTGCTGGTGGTGGGGGTGCGGGGGCATGCCGCCGCCGTTCACCGCCGGGTTCACGTTGTTGTACATCATGTGGTGCGGCGGCGTCTGCTGGGGGTGGTGCTGGGGCTGCGGGGGCTGTTGCTGCTGCTGGTGCTGCGCCTGGGGCGGCGGCTGCTGCACCGCCTGGTGGGGCGGCGGGGGCGGCTGCTGGTGGTTCACCATGTGGTGGTGCTGTTGGTGGTGGCTGTGGGAGTTCATGCCCGCGTCCAGCGGCGGGCTGACGGGGCCGCCGATGACGCCCCCGGGACCCACGGCCGCCGCCTGCAGCTTGCAGCTGGCGTACACGACGGGGGCCACGGCGGTCTGGTGGCCGTTGGGCGGGCCGTGGGGGCCGTGCTGCATGTGCTGCATGGGTGAGGGCGAGTTGGGCCGGTAGCCCGTGTCCTCCATCATGCCGCCCTGCGCCGTGTAGTACGCCGCGTTCCGGATGTCCACGCGGTCGTACGGCGGGAACCTGGGGTACGGCATGCCCTGGGGGTGGCCGCCCGTCGTGGGGTAGTGGTGCGGCGGCCCGTGCGGGGGCACCACGCCCTGCCGCATGTCGCCGTTGACCCCGCACGGGTCCATGGGCGGCCCCGCCACGGCCGCGCCGTAGTGCTGGTGCTGGTGGGGGTGCTCCGAGCTCACGCCCCCGTTCCTCATGTCGGTGTGGGGCGGCATGTAGGCGTTGGCGAAGTACGAGCTCATGCCCTCCGCCACCGAGTCGCACACGGACTGGGACTCGATCTTGGTGGGGGCGCCGAGGCCGGCGCCGTGGCCGTGGGGCTCGTCCACGGGGAAGTACTGCAGCTCCGCAATGGTGGCGGCAGGGGTGCGCGACCCGTCTGGGGGTCGCACGGCGAGGAGACGGGAAAAGCACTCACTCGCACTCACTGCACTCGCGGCACTCACTGCGGCATCGCGGCCGCGGACTTATCACTTTGGCTTTGTATCACTGGATTGCTTGTATCACTAAAAAAAAATTTCACTTGACTGAACACTCGCGCACTTCCATGGCTGTCACGAGGATGGCGTTGACGACGTTGACGGCGGCCTGGGGAGGCAGATGACGGTCCGTCCGGGAGGGCTGCCGGGGTCGAGAAGGAGAGGCGCGGCCGGGATGCGGGGGCTTCGTCGCATCCGCCCCTGGAACACAGGCAACACGCACAGTCAGTTTCTGGGTTCCAAACTAGAACACTTTCGCAACACCGCCCCGAACACCCCTCGCGCGCGGCGCGGCGCGGCCCCGGAGCCACGACGGCGAGGCCCCGGAGGAGCCCGTGCGGCCGGGGCCAGAGATTCGCGTCGACTGGAGCCGAACAAGTGTCGCCCCGAGATGGACAGCCCGCGGCCGGGCCGTGGCGGCTGCAGTCCGTGCTGCTTGTTTTGTTCTTGCGGCCTTTGGAAATGCAAACAAAGACGGCGTGACCTCCTCGGCGCGGAAGTGGATCGCCGTGCCATTCTTCGTGCGATTCCAAATTGTGGCTGCTCGTCTCTCTCGCACTTGTGGGGCGTCCGGCGTGGGTGCGAGAGAGACGGAGGAACCAAACAGTTTGTTGAATCGGTCGGCAGCCGCAGGGTCAACGTGCCGGTCAACACGCTGCGCTGGGTGATAGGGCACATGGCTCGGAGCAACGAGCCCTGGATCGCAGCGCAGCGACTCCGCTTTGTCTCTCTCGCACTCGCAGGGCGGACCCGCAGGGACGAGAGAGCCAGAGCGACGTTCAGAACCAGTGTGCCGGCGGCCCTACCCACAGTGCCCCACGCCACCCTGGGCTGCCCTGGGCCCTCCGCCGAAGCGAGGACGGGGACGGCCGGGACCACACACCTTGCCGCTCCCATAATACACGCCAGAGGGTCCCAGAGGAACCCACGAGGAGAGCCGGGGGCGATTTTTCAAAATCGCGAATTATTCCCCGAGTCATTGTTTGGGCAACAGAGCAGCCTTGTCTCCGGCCAGAGACAAAGGTAGCGCCTTGCCAGCATCACGCCGCCACCGGGCCGCCAGTCGGCAGACACGGTCCCCGCCTTTCTCCTGATTAATTTTCCCGACTAATCTCACGCCTCCCGACTATTTTTACACCGATTCCAACCGCCCGGCTCTTTTTTTGCCGCATTTCTTCGCGTCGGGACGGCCCGGCCGAAGCCCAAAGGAGGAGCGAGGAGGCTGCGGCGAGGATCGAGAGCAAGCCGGTCGCCGTGACCACACTGGTGAGGTCAGAGTTCGCGGCCGCCCTGCCCGCCACGCTGCGGGTTCGCCGGTTCGTCACGCCCGTCGGCCGGACAAAAGGGCGCGCGATTTCCACGCCCTTCCCGCCGCCCCACAACAAGGGCGACTTTCCCTTGGACTCCGTTTTGCATGGAGAGGTGAGCGACACCGTGAGTCAGTCCGCGTCGCGACCCCGGCACGAGAAGTGCATCAAGGTGGCCGAGCGCGCCGTCGGTCTATCGTCATCGCCTACGCGGGGCTCAACAAGCGCCTGCTCTCTGGGGACAGTTTTGCCGCGTCGTCACGACAGAAGTCTGCTAGAGTCTACGGAAGGTAACTATCCACTTCAAAGTTTCCCATTCCAGAGTTCTGTTTCGATCCTGCACTGCCTTGCACTCCGGCTCTCTGGCGGCCATGCCTGCGTGAGGCCTTCGGGCCTTCGGCTCTGCGGTCGTCATGGAAACCAAACAGCGCGTCAACGTCATGCTTGTTTTTTCATACCGCCTAGCTTCCTGCCGCCCGGCGGCGTGGCGGCGGCGCGGCGGGGTAGCGGCGCGGAGCAGCGAACTCTGACGGCAAAACGATGAACTACGCCGGCGGGGCGGCGAATCGCCAGCGCAGCTAGTGCTGTCCACGACCCGTCAACCCCTCGACGAGACAGTCGCAGCGTTGTCGCCTTTAATTGGTTTTTCGGCACAGCAATCTGACTGACGGCCGGGGTGAAATCGCGAGTGCTGCTGGAATGCCAATTTATCGATTTTGGCCGGGGGAGGCTGTGGCGAAGCAGGGCAAGCGAAGCCCCCGGGCGGCGGCCCGCGGGTGGAGCGCGCCGGCAGGCAGGCAACCACTCCGGCACGGCGTACGTTGGGTGGCCTACGTTCCAGGCGGGCGGGCGGCGCGGCGCACAGTGGGCCAGAAGACCGGTGGAGGCGGCCAAAACTCTAGACGCGTTTTGAGCTCCAGAGTCGCTAAATGGGACTCGAACCGAACGTGTGACCCCACCAATGGATTCCTCGTTCGGAGAGCAATCCATTGGTGGGGTCACACGTTCGGTTCAAGGTCTGTTTAGCGACTCTGCAGCTCAAAACGCGTCTAGAGTTTTGGCCGCCTTCACCGGTCTTCTGGCCCACTGTGCGGCGGCGCGGTAGCAAGCTGGAGGAAGCTGCACCGCCACCGCTCCAGTCACAACAGCGGAACTTGCTCCCCGTTCATTACAGATTCATCGATTCCGCCCCAACTAGCGCCGCCACTGCACTACAGCGCGAATCAGCATATTGGCCGTGTCGCTGGCACCGGCGACGCCGAGCGACGCCGAGCGACGCCCGCAAGGCAGTGTAGTGGTAGTCCCTCCCACGCGGTGTCGCCGCCGGCCGCCCTTCCACTATGCAAATGGCCGCCGCAACAATCACTCAGATTGCCATGCAAATACATTTTCAATTAGTTGGCCGTGTATCGCCGGGCGCGTTACACGCATCAAGGGGTGGTTTCGGTTTGGTCGGGCTGCGCGCCATTCGTTCCGTTCCATCGCGCACCGCGCCATCTTTATCTCGTGTGTGTGTGTGTGTGTGTGTATTTATTTTCGGTTGACCGGACATTAATGCAATGTATAATGACGATCGGGTGGTCGGCCCGGCCCGAATAACTCGATTTTAAAAACGGCACACTGGTCGCGGCTTATCGGCGGCTGGAACCCCCCGTTTATCTCCCAGTGCACTTCCCCCGCGGACGAGCTCTGCATCGGCCGGGCGGCGTCCCGGGGCCTCGTATCGGCGAGCGAACTATGCTCCCCAAATTGCCATCAACTAGCGCTCCTGTCGGCCGGAGCGTGAACCCGGTGCATGAGGAGCCATGTTACGCGCGGCCCGCTCCGGGGCGAGGCGGGGCGAGGGTGGGGGAAGCGGCGGGGGGAGGGGAGGGGGCAGTGCCGGGTGGGGATTGGAGCAGCCGCCCGACGGCTGTCAGTGTGATTGAGCGGGAGGCGGAGGCGGGCGGAGGACTCTCTCTCTCTCTCTCTCTCTCTCTCTCTCTCTCTCTCTCTCTCTCTCTCTCTCTCTCTCTCTGCAAGGAGACGCGAGACGCCGCCGTTTCCGAGATGCGAATTTCTCATAGCCGAGGAGGAGTCGAGGGCCCCTCTCAACAACACGGTCATTTAATGAAGCGGTGCGCCGGCGGGTTGGGTCCCCGCCCCGCCCCGCCCTCTCGCCGCTCGCCACTTTATGAAGACATTTATGGGCCGTTAGCGGGCTAGGCTGCCGGCGAGGCGAGGCGCGTGCCGCCGAGTAGGTGGCGGGGCAAGATGGTGTTGTGGTGTCGAGCAAATTGTTATTATGTTTATGACCGTGTCCGAGAGTGCCGCCCGGCTGAGTTGTGGGCTATTAGACGAGGAGAGCGGCTCCTGTCCGTCTCTCTCTCCTTTTTTCCCAGCGTGTGATTCCTCCGCTCTGCCCGTGTCGTCCCGGTTCTGCCGGCCTTTCACCCGGCCCGCCTATTTTCCTACACAACACGATTGTACTCGAAAAACGAAGGGATTTATGGTGATGCCGCCGACGGCTGTGGACGCGGCGGCCCGTCCGGTGTGATGAATGGCCTCAGTCGAATTCGCGCATCGACCACTTTTTTACCAATCCGTCCCTTTCAATTTGCGCGTCGAAAGCAGTGGCAGCGGGACAGTGGCGCGGAGACGTGGGCAGTTCTGCCAACCAAAGCACGCCCAAGACACGCTTACGGAAAATACGGCCGGTGAGTCGTCTTTTTCTGACGCGGGTCCTGTGAAGATCGGACCCCCTGTGCGCCCCTGATGTCTTACCGTCGCCGGCCACCGCCTGCATCGCATCAATTACCTGCAACAAGAGGAAAACTGTGTTAGCTGGGCGCGAAAACGTTTTCCGAGAAAACACCACCCATCACGGGGCGCGGTCACGCAGCGCAAACACTTGGCGCCCGCGACGATACCGGCCTAATTTATGGCCCGCTAAAAAGTAGACCGACGCCGTAATCACCCGAAATTGACTCTTTTCCGAGCCGCGACGATGATGGCGCCGTGGCACCAGGTCGGCCTGCCAGAGATGATTTGTTGCGTTGGCAACTCGGAAGGGTCCGGCCGGGCCGGCGTTGCGGAGGGTTGGTAGGACTGCGTTCGGACAGTAACGCTCAGCTCCAATTATTTTAATTGCCGTTAGTTGGTACCCCGAAAATGTCCGGCTGGACGGGCTGGACGCAGCCAGTCTGCCATTACAAAGCTCTAAATCATCTTGACAGGCGTTCTCCTCAAAGGCGTTTCGCTGGCTGCGCTGGCCGACGTCGTGTCCACGCCACTGCGCACCGCGTGGACCAGCGCGCCGGACAATGGGTTCGCGATAGCGCCAAGGTCGCGCGGAACAGTCTGGACGACACCTCGCTTTCAATAACTGGCTTTTCCAGTGGAATGCGACGGGAAAAAAATCCGGCGGCGGCGGGGATCGAACGCGCGGCGCGGGCGCGCCAGCCAACGAAAGTAAAATGACACAGCGCTGGTCGTAAATATCGCGCGCGCTTTCCATTGGCACCGTCATATCCTTCCTTCCGCGCGTTATCGCCAATAAACACCAGAGATAGCCGCGCCCGCGAGAGCGAGAGAGAAAGAGAGAACAAAAGACAAGAGCCAAAAAAAAAAGAAGCGCAGCGGCGCCAGCAGTAAATCAAATTACGCGACACCGAGTGAGTACAGTGCCCACGTGCTAATGTGTGCGACAAGTTCGGGAAAGTTTGAAAAAAGCGCGCCAAAACGGGCAGAGGTGCGAGTCAAGTCGGCGCGCCGCAGGGCGAAGGGCCGAAGGTAGCGGACCGTGGAAGGAGGCCGGGGGTGGGGGACACAAGGGGGCGGTGGGTTCTGCCCCGCTGCCGCGCGATATCTGACGCCCCATCTCTGTATCTTTTGCCGGTCGGTTTGCGAACCGCT